GAAGAAAAAAGGCAGCGCAGAAAGAACTGTAAATTGCAGAATACACCATCTAAGGAGTCTTTCTGCTGTGCCTTTTGCAATCTGATATGTCTGTCACGTATTGGCCTCATAAGCCACCAACGTGCCTGTAGCAAATGTGGATAGAGCCTTCCCAAATCTTCGTTCGCGAAGCCTCGCCATGATGATGAGTGAAGAAAAACCTTTTCACTGAAGAAATTCTTTCTGATGTCCAACCTGTACTTCCCTTGGCACATCTTGAGGTCATTCCCTCTTGTTGCCAGGAAGGAGAGACCAACACCATCTGGCTACAACTTCCTTTCAGATAACTGTAGAGAGTGATAAGGTCTCCTCCGAGTCTTCTTTCATCCAAGCTAAACAACCCCAGCTCCCTCTGCTCTGTAGCCCTTCTCTGGACTCACTCCAGCACCTCAATGTCCTTCTTGTACTAAGAGGCCCAAAACTGGACATAAGATTCGAGGTGGGGCCTCACCAGAGCCAAGTGTAGGCACTTCCCCGGCCTGCTGGCCATACTTTTGCTGATACAGGCCAGGATGCCATTGGCTTTCTTGGCCAACTGGGCACACTACTGCCTCATGTTCAACCACTGTGGACCAGCACTTCTAGGTCTTCTTCCGCCAGGCAGCTTTCCCGCCACTCTGTCCCCAGTCTATGGCACTACCTCAGGTTGTTGTGACCCAAGTGCAGAACTCAGCACTTGGCCTTATTGAACCTTGTACTGTTGGCCTTGGCCCATCAATTCAGCCTGTCCAGACCTTCTGCAGAGCCTTCCTGACCGCCAGCTGAAGTCCAGGTAGATAACATCCACAGCCTTTCCCTCATCCACTTAGGCAGGTCACCTGGTCATAGAAGGACACCAGGGGCTCAGGCAGGACCTGCCTTTCCCAACTCTGCTGGCTGGTTGTCCTGTACATGCCACGTGATCACATTCAAGATGATCTGTCCCATGACCTTCCTGGGCACCAAGGTCAGGCTGACGGGCCTGTAGTTCCCCAGATCCTCCTTCCAGCCCTTCTTGTGGATAGGTGTCAAATTAGCCAAACTCCGGTCATCTGGGACCTCCCTGGTTTGCCAAGACTGATGGTTAATGATGATAAATTTCGATACTAAGATGCTCTTGAAAAACTAGTCAGTAATAAAATTAATACGAGGCAAGGAATAACATGTATAACCATGCATTTGCATTGTTTCTCATTAAATATATAGAGCAATAATAGTCAAGTAAATACGGTGGGATTTCAAAGCAACCAAGAAAGGATTATTTTTTTCTTTACTCATTGTCTTGGTAACCAAACTAAATTTCATTCAATTCTAATAGGCTAAAAGTTGGTAGAAAAGGATGAACAGTCATAGGTTACATTTTTGATTCTGAAGTCAATATATTCACCTGTGCATTAATTTCAAATCTTTGCCAGTTTAAAGACAGCTATTCTTGGACATGGGTTTCTCATATCTGTTTTCCTTATGGTAAAGCTAAATGACACATACAGTATTTGCTTATGCAATTAAGCAAGCTAAAATTGAATGCCACGTTTATTTGGTTTGTCATCACAAATGCAGATAAAATGTAATGGAAAGGAAAGCTAGGTTACATAACTCAGCAGTAAATGTTTCTAAAATAACTGTCAGTGTGAATGGCAGTAAGCTGTATACTGTTAATACATAATTTATGTTGTATGGTGTGTAATGCGGTAAGTTGTTATAAAATCCCACTCCTCCTACTATCATCACAAATGTGTCTCAGTATTTCTAGGACTAACTTCATCGTCATCCAAGACATCACTTGCCCCACCCACTGCACCCCTTTAATATAATTTGTATTTACTTCTCTACAATCCAAACTCCTTGAAACAATTTCAGACAAAATATCTCTTTTTTGTCTACTTCAGTTTCAGTTTTATACACCCTTTAGAGTCCATTCAGATCACAGTCACCTTATCTGTCTGATACAGTTGTGCCCCCAGTCATACTGTCTTGAAACATATAGCTGCTTGAAACATACAGTATTTTACAGCTGCTTTTTGCCAGCAGTCAGTTCCTACCTATTGCTAAGGTTACCAGGAGGGTTCAGATACTGGAATTCTCACTACATGTCCAAAAGCATATGGGTTCCTAACCAAATTCTGCTCTCAGGGCCATCATTCTTTCCCTAAATCCACATGCAGGGCCTAATGCAAAAGACACATCCACCCCTTGACTACTTACACAACACTAAATCCTGAATATTTGAAATAATACATTATATTTTAAAAAGGTTTATATTTTTATCCCCCCCCCAACTCTTTCTCCCCATATTCCACGTGAGACAAACAAGAACTGGCACATGAAGGCATACTGCATGTCTCTAAAGTATCTTTAAAAAGCAACTTCTCTAAGATACTGAAAATAGTGAGTCCTACTTCTAAAATATTTGTTTCTGTATGCACACAGAGGTTACAAATACCATGATGCATATAAGGCTGGCCACAGAATATCTTTGATGTGTTGCATCAGCATTTTGGAAACATTATTAAAGACAATCAACTAGTATTTCTATTGAATAAACACAAAATTATTTGTGTGCCACGAAAGATATTCTTTATCTTCATTGTCATCCTTTAAAGAACATCTGAAAGTAGCATGAGAGGACATTACATATATATATAAAACTTTTCTTCATGACAATTTGTATTCACAATAGAAAAGGTTGGCATATCTTACAGGCAATGCATGGATTTTTGAAGGTTCTGAATTAAAACAAAAGCAATGACTGGCAGCTTAACACCCTGGCACCTCTAAATGCTCCTTACAGAACTACTGTAGCATGAATAAGCAAATTTGCCAGTTCTCCAAGAGTTGAGATGAACAGCTAGAAACATCTGCATTCTAAATCAAGGTCTGTGATTAGGTAAGCACATACGCAGGCATGGTATGGTTTGCATTCAGTTAAATTGCAAATATAGCACATATCATTATCTTCCTACATCTTTCCAGTAAACACTTCTGCCAGTCTTCCCCAAACAAGGCTTCACATAATGTGACAGACAGCAAGGGGCTGACAAGGAAAATCAGGTAACTAGCTTTCAGAGAAGATAAATGGAGAACGTCTAGGTTGTCCCAAACCTCTCTCGGCAGACTTCAGGGCTCATGCTTGAAAAATGCTTAGTCAGAAGATGAACCCCAGGGAGTTAAGACATGCATAACATATTTTTTCTAAAAGTTTTTAAAAAGAGAGTTAAGCCATATTGTTAGGAAACAATGGAAGCAGTCCCCCTGACAGGTGTGTGGGCACACCTGCAGTGTCCTTTCCAGCACACTCTGCTAAGGAAGACTAAATACATCCAAGACCTCGCTGTTCATTGCTTAGGGGATATGTTTTTAAGTCGGCCCTCAAGGGATGTCACAAAGCCTGAGACGGTCCTACGGCAAGGTTATAGAAAGTGATTAGGAAAACAAGCAGAGGGGCCGAGTCCAACTCCCCCTCAGCGTCCGGCCCGCCGGGCCCGCCCACCCCCCGCGTGACGCGAGGCGCGCGAGCCCCGCCATTGGGCGCTCGGGGCAGTGGCAGCGTTGACGGCAGCGCGGTCACGGGCCGGCTCGGCCCGGCCCCGGCGTGTCCCCGGCGCGTCCCCGGCGCTCCGGAGAGCGCGGTCGTGCCGGCACCATTCCCGGGGAAAATCCGTCCTCAGGCTGTCCTGCAGATTCTTGACGCGCAGAGCCTGACGCCCACTGAGGGAAAACCTGCTAAACAAACACGCGCCCAACCCCTCAACTTGGATGTTTGTTTTCTTAAAATAGCTTCCATAACTTTTCCTTCTAATATTCTGAAAGACTCAATATTTACTCAAAGGGCAAGTTTTATGAGGGAATATCTTTGCCTCAGTTAAATTAGTCACTAAGCACTAACCAAGACATTGATTCCCAACATCAGGAGCAAGGCATGACGCAACAACCACTGGTAGCATTTATATGCAAGTTAACTGCACTGTATTGCAAGGAAAGTAGAAAGGTTTTTTTCAGTCAGGAAGAACTATAGACACCAGTGATTCAAAGAGGAACCAGATGTTTTAATGATGATAAAGGGATTTTAATGCTATATGATTGACTTTCAAGCAATCACATTTGAGAACCTACCATACAAAGTCATTTATTAAAGATTACTGAATTGCCATATGAATGAGCGTTTTTTCCTGTTTTCAGGTCACTTGAAAGTATATATATAAATAAGTTCCAGGACAAACAAAACAATATCATAGGGGGACAATATCTCTGCTATTTCCTTCAAGTCAGGCTAAGAAATAAATGGGGAAAACTGTTCCTTAGATATAGGGAGAAAACACATCTCCCTGCTCAAAATACTGTTACCATATAAGAAAACATGACCATAACAATACAGTTTTTATAACTTGCCTATTTTGTAAAGGCAAAGGAGTGCCAAACTCATATTACTTCATCACTACTATCTCTGTAAGATTTTAATTTTTCTCATACCTCGATTAGCCCTTTTTGACATTAATTTAGGGAAAAACATAGCAGCTGGTATTTGCCACAGTATTTTGCAAATAAGCATTTTGCGTCTAACAGTCTATAATGTGTATTGATTACTCACCATATCCATGAATGCCTCCTAAAGGGGAAATTATTCACATGCATCATGTTCACAGATCTTCCAACATTAGCGTTTTCCTTGTCAGCCAGATTTATCTGTTATGGTATTCATAGATGCATGCCAGAACAACTGCATGAGCAGTCAACAGCAGGGATTATTGCAAGAATTACTGTAATCCACAAAAATAAAAATTCACAGGATCCAATGAAAGACTTCTCACAGGGTTTTCTAGGTACACGTCCATCCATTTATGCATCATTTGCTATTTTAAAGAAACATTAAATTAATCAGTATACAGAAACTGTTCTGACAGTGCCAACAGTTTGCCTTGATAAAAATCCAAGTGCTTTGACTGTGAATTAAAGCATCTTCATATGCAGCATTTTGGACAGTTGGAAAAGGTTAGTGAAAAGATAGTTTCTTGCCATCTGTGCCAAATTAGTGTTTAGGGGGAGATGTGTAACTTCAGATTGCTTTGCCATGTTCAGAAATGAATATTGCTTTTTCTTCTTTCTTAGACACATATTCATCAGTGATCAATTTAATGCAGTTCTCCTTTCTTACAAGCCCAGGGAACAGGATGATGTTAATAGCCTTGTACAACAACCCCAAACTTCTTTGAATTTAATACTGTGACTTTGTTTCTTTAGCTAAGAAAGAAAGAAGTATGCTTTTTGCACTCCATAGGACAGGACTACAGTTAGATACCAACGAGAGATGTGATCATATTGTGACCAAATTCATTTTTGCTGTCTAACCCCATAATAAGCCTGCATGCTCCCTTTAAGTAAAATGACTAAGCTATCGACTCTCACTGCAGAATCTAGTTCTGTTTTGGTGTTACACTGTATATAAACCCACGTGCATCAATTTGTAGTCGCAAAACGAAAGCAAAGCTATAAGTCTCGTGTTACCTAAGCATTCTTTCTCTGCTGTCCTTTTTTTTCCCAATTCAGGTCCTAGACAGTAGTTATCACTCCTTACGGTCTGGTAAGTATCCTCGGAAAGATTCTTAAGCCCAGGCTACAGAGACGGCGTCTATTTTGAAGCAAATTCAGAGTCAACAGGCTCTCTCTTCCTTCTCCCGGACGAGAATTTCCGGCCTCCCCTCGGGCTCCTGGTCTCCCCGCCCAGCAGCGGCAGCCCCGGACAGTGTCGGGCTGCGTGGCACTGGCCCTGCAGTAGACTGGGCTCGGCTGCGGAGAGGGCTCTCTGCCTGGCAGAAGCTGTGCTGGCGTCAAGGGGGCCCTCTAGGTGGGTTCTCCCGGCACCGCGCATTCTGCCCTGCCGCTCCCGCCCGCCCGGGATGGAGGGGAAGGACGGGGCACTGGAGAAAAAGACGCGGGAGAGCCTTCCTTAGAACGGCCTGTGCCTCCCGGGGAACAGAAAGCACTGATGATTTTGCATGGAAGTGCAAAAATCTGCAGGAAAAGAGGCGCGCAGAAGCAGAATTCACCTTGCGGGTCTCTACTGAAATGTAAAACAAGCTTTTATACTTGTCCGGGTATACATTGTTCACTTGCCGTCGTTTTTAAATGGTTTAGGCTGTACCAAGACTTCTTAAACTTCCAAAGACTCCTTGTCCTTTTGGGCAGGAAATCCTGGATTATGGAAGCCAGCTGCAACTTCTATGACATTAAAATGTGTAATAAGACTTTGTATTTGATTAGGGTGTGGGTGAACTTGGGAGTAACATGATAAACTATTGAATGTCACATTTATATAGATGCTTTTTCCTTAAGCTCAGTTCTGTTGTTCGTCACAACTCTACAATACCCCAAATGAGCCCTAGTAGAGTTGATTTCACTCTGAAATAAAAATAAAATATTAAAGTACTTGAATGTCAAGTGTATTGACAGTGAAATGGCATTTATTTCAATCACGTAATAAAAAGGGAGCATTTGTATATTACTGTACTTTGAAGATTTGAAGCACAAAAGTACAACAGATTCCAAAATTTAAAGGGGATCTAGCATCATTTATGTTCTACTAATCTACACAGATGGGGTTTTCTTTTTTTGGTGTTTGAATACAACCATGATAGAGAGCAGACTCTGAGAGTTACAAATAATGAGAATGAAAACTAGCATTTTTCACTAAGATTACAAAACAAAATATATAATCATGTTCAATGAAAGTATATATTCAGTGTGACTTTTAAAGGGAACAGGTAAGCCGTTATAACTGTTATTCTATGTTCATGCTGTATGTAAAAAGCATGCCCATTCCACCCCTCCCAATTAGTTTAGGAATTTATACCAGAGACATTTGAAAAGCATGCAAACAAAAGTCTGAAAGCTGAAAGATCATGTCATTAATCTGAATATGACAAAACCCACATCTATTCCAGTTGTCTATTGCTTTCTCTAAGCTAGATATGGTTATTATGAAATATTAACTACACCAAATGCTACACAAACCTGCACCATCATTATTATTTCATATTGCACTTATCTCACTGCATACTTGCCCAGTCACTAACGGGGCACTGACATTTTCAACACTAGACTTACGTAATGACTTGTACTATCTTAAGAAAGAACTTCTCGACACTGACCTGTGTCACCTACCATATTTGAAATCTGTGAAAGAATCTATCCTGCATCTGTGTTACAATCTATTTGGTTTTATTTGGTATTAAGTTCAGCACAAACCGTAGTACCCATTGACTCAGCTAATTTCATTCAGAAGCAGAGTTGCAGAAGGAGTGTGGGCGTGTATGAAGTTACTATACAGTATTACAAACCAGTTAAAGGACTCAACAACAGAGTGGAATGCACAACATATGGGCTTTCCAGAGCAGGATTAACTTAAAGCTAGAGACTTTAACCAGTAAAGAATTTTTGTTACAATTCCAGTAGAGGTTGACTTCTGAAATTCTTCCTGTTCAAGCCAATAATAATTCACTAATCAGTTCACATTAAAAAAAAAAAAAAAACAACAGATAAAAACTTTTAGTGACATTAACTTTAGTGACATCATGGGTTTGGACTGGATAAGCATTTTGGTATATCATCTACCGTTAAGGTAGACCACGTTCTTTAAAAAATTGGTTCAAGTACAATGCCTGTTTGGGGATGGGGGGGAGCAATTGAAAGCAGATTTTCATTTGATTCCTTGGTTACCAGAACACTGCTCAGACCATTAGAATTTGGGCTATAGGACAGTGCAGTCCATCTTCCCTATTCATGCAGAATCTAGACTAGGCATGAAGAAGCTGGAGGGGGACGACAAAGACACAAAGTCTACAAAAGTGATAATGACTCTTTTCTGAGATGGGGGGATCCTATATTCCAGTCCTCTCTACAAGGTTTCCTTGAGTATTTTCCACTAAAATTGATTAGGTAATGGACAAAGTATATTTGTAGCAGGAACTAGATTATCTGGAAGCACTTCTCAATTCCAGATAAGTATTTGCATTGGACTCCTATAGAGTGAGGAGCTATCCTCTTTCTCTCTCTTAATAGTCTTGGGAGTCTTGGATTTCTTACTGCTCAGTGAAACATCTAAAGAGGGAAAAGTAAAGACTAAGTCCTATAAATCTTGTTTTTAATCAGCCCATTAACATTGCAAAATTGTAAAGACCTTTCCATTCTATTCTTTGGGGGAAGAAGAACCTAAGAGAGTATTGTTTGCATCTGCATTTCCACATAGTCTTCCTCGTACAGCACTCCGCTTTTTAATTATTATTCATATCAGAAAATTCACTTAAGAATTGAATAAGGTCTATGTCTGTTAAACTGATGTCTTCTAGATTATTTTCTTTGCCTCTTCTCATAGATGTAAATGCACTAGCAGACACCAGAGGAAGAGTTTACCTTGTTTCATTTCTGGCCATTATCCTGTATAGAATGGTTTGGGTTGGAAGGACCTTTAAAAGCCCCCTGCAATGAGTAGGGACATCTTCAACTAGATCAGGTTGTTTAGAGCCCTGTCCAACCTGAGTTTTGTTTCCAGGGATGGGGCATCTACCACATCTCTGGAGAACCTGTTGCAGTGTTTCACATTCATTCTAAAACATGTCTTTCTTATGTATCTTAAATATATTAAGATATATATATATTATATTATAGCAAATATCTTATGTTCTGAATCAAATCTCTTTTAGTTTAAAACCAGTACCCCTTGTCCTATCAATGCAGACCCTACTAAATGATGATAGCACTAAGAGCAGTAAGAACTGTTGTTCTACCAGTGTCAGATTTTTAATGTGAAACTCAACAAAAACAATGAAAATACATAATAGAAACCATATAGGTTTCTATTCGGAAGCAAACTGCACCAGGGGCATATAGAAATAACATTTGTATGCTAAATTGAGTGCAAGTTTTCAGTTTAACTTACTGCATCCTTTCATTTTTACAAAAATGGGGCAAAAAAAAGTGGTTGAATCAAATATTTTGTTTACAATATAATAATACATAGGGAAAAACATGGTAAAGCTGACACTTAAAGCAATGATGAAAAGCCAGCTCCTAATATAAGTACACAGAATTTCATCAGTGTTATTGCTAAATAGTGATAATGACCAGTGGTAGATTTTTCAAGACTATGTAAGATGAGCTGGTGACTCATGACCAGTATATTCTGGACTGGTATAAATAAAAAACCTTATCAAACTTGATAATTGTATTAAATGTTTCAAAATGCTCTCTGAGATATGAATGTCTGTGGAGCCTGAAATATGCTATCACTGACAAGGAGTACCCATTGAGATCAACTCCAGTGTATGTAGTATAGGCAAAAAACACATGTTGCCAGCCTAAATTACCTGTGCATACAGGTAATTTCATGCTTCAGAAAGAAGGCTAAAATAAAAATTCTTGTTAATAAATAGGAAATACAGAATTTTTGCATGCATTAAAAAAAAAAAAAAGATTATCCAAACCAGAAGGAAAGAACTGAAAAATGTTAACAGTCACTTACATGTTAATATGGATTCATCTGCAATATTATGGAAATATAATGTACGGATGTGACAATTCTGCGTATTTAGAATTAATTTCTATATTTGAATATTAGGATACCGTTATTATTTATAAATTCTCTATGAAAACTATATAGATTAAAAGATCAACATGATTAAAAAAGTGGTAGAAAATGAAATAAATTTAAATTTATGATTTAAATTATGGTTTAGAATACTTAAATTATCTTATTAATATTCTCATAAAAACTTCTTAAAGCTCTAATTTGTAGACTACCTATCAGAATTGTTAATGAGCAGATTTCTGTTTTATCTGGAGCTGTTTATTCATCAAAAATATTTCTTGTTACCTTTGAGATGGAAACAGACATACTGCGATTGTTTTGTTTTTAAGAAATGAAAATAAATATTTTCTATGTGAGGATTCATGAAATTTCTTCAGATAAGTTAATGAATTTTGCAATATATTGTTTTCATGTTAAAGAGTCTATATCCTCCAACTTTTTATGAAGTTAGGACCTTTGATATAACTGTTCTGAAAAAAAAGCCAAAAAAACCCAAGCAAACAAAAAAACCCCAACTGACCCACATTACTATAATTTCTTTTGAATATCAGAATATGAAGTTGGATATTTGAGAGGTAATGTACACTAATGAATGAAAATCTTTTTTATTTGCCCTAATTTGCCTTGGGTTTGTTGCTTTTAATTTAATTTATGAGCAAAAAAAATCTGCATGTTTGTAACTTAGTCACCAATAAATGCATTATGTCAAAACCTTCAGGGCTTGCAAAATCAAATCATTTCAATATTGAGATTATGTCAAAAAAGGGTTAGCAATTATGAAAGTTATATAAGTAGTCACTGAACTTGTCTTTCAGTTGTGGTCAGCCTGTGCTCATTGCCATCAATAGACTTTCTATTTTCTTTCATAGTTTCAAAAAGTTTCAGGACGTCAAACACATAAGCCTCACATTCCATCCTACTGAACTACTGCAAGATCCTGTAACCTGATTCGTCTCTATAGTGATAGTTTCCTAACACTGAGTCATATTACTAGGGCACTTAATGAATAAAAAGAATAAGTAAAATATTGGAACTCTAGTAGCGTTTTACTTAGGAAATAATATTCAACTTCTTATAGTCTTTTTTTTGTCTTCTCCTATTACCTCCTTATCTGCTTTTAAAAGTCTCTACTTATATGCATGTTTTCCATTTTAAATAGCATTTCCCAA